ATTTCGCCGCAGACTTGTCCTTGTAAAAAATTAATGGTTGCATGCCACAAATAACAGGAAAAACATGCTCGGATTCACAATCCGAACTGGACTTTATTTGCTGGAAAGACTGCCGTTTATAGGTCGGTGGCACAATTAGTTGCAAGTTTACAAGATTTACAAGATTTAGAGGTCTACATATTTACTGCAGTATTCATTCCATTACTGTTTTGAGTTAACTCTTTTGGGAAAAAATGTGGTATTTTAACGAAACGCTTTCAAACGATGGCCGACCAGCAATCATTAAGCAACAGAACCAACTTTTTGATTTCTCCAACACCTAAAACATTCTGGGCAGAAAATGTGCTATGGTGTGCCAGACCCTAATATTTGCTTTCTTTTAGAATTTTTGCGATTTCACGAAAAGGGTGTTACCTACATGTAAGAATAAAACTAATAACGTTTAGATTTATGTCCAACGAAATACAAATAAATGAAACAAAATGAAACTAGACGAAACATGGGTAAGTAAAGTTGATGGAACAGATAAAAACGAATATAAATCGCTGTGATCCAGTGGTTCGCGTGCCCTATCCACGTCTGCTGTGGTTTGAGGGCTCAAACCCCAATGTTATGGGTACCACGGCAAGGCGGATCCAGAACAAGTTTTCGGGGGGATAAAGTTTGATATTATGTATAACATTTACCGGACTTCCTGGGGGTTGAAACAAAATTTATTTCTCTTTTACACGCATATAGAAGAAAAGGAAATAATGCGCACAAATCGCCTTTATCTCATTATTTCATTTCCGTTCATTTAAATGGAACGAGTGAATGGAAACGAAATTAGAAGCATCAGTAACATAGATGCACCAGTTACATAGTTCCCTTCCCCCTTTTCTCCAAAAAGGTGGAACATATAGATGCTATTATTGGCGATGACAGTGGTTATCAGGATTTTGTTGGCGAAAACATTTTACCGTGCAATGAACGCGTGTTGAGGATGCTGGTGACTTAGAGCGGTCACTGTGACTAAAGGAGGCTGGTGTTGCTATGACGACGATATATGTAATGAAATGATGACGGCATTTAACACTACCATGGTATTAATAGAATGAACGACCGATGCTTCAACTTGAACAGAACATTGCTCAAACTTTGGAAACGAGACGTCTTTTGTCAGGCGTCATCACTTCAGGAAAAACTGAATTGGTATAGCTCATACAAAGAGTTAGTCTTTCTGGGGCGTGTAGAGGATTGCAAGACATGGATTCATGAAGAAGTCGCCCCATATACGCCCGTCTCTTATCTGGTCATTGTACGGCTGACATTCTTGACGCACTCACCATTTATGACTATACTGTAAGTGTAAAAATAAATGCGCGCGTGTGAATTGTGAGGATCCGCTTTCAGAAATGTGTCCTCGCGCTAGGGAAACGAAAAAGGTTTTGCAACACCTGCCCCGTTCACATGCGAGGCCAAGAGACGACGGCGAACTCGTCTAGTATAAAACAGCATTGCTCCTATGTACACCGCGCGCACCACACGATCGATAATGGCAATAAAAAGGCTGTATTATTCCAGGCATCAAATGACTCAAAACGCCACACTTAAGAGCCACCAGCGGCATTATACGAGCCGTTCATGAGCCATCATTTGCTCGTTTTTACAAGGTTTCCCTGAAGCGCTCGCTGCTTTCTCGAGCGCTGCTAAGGAGCTTTTACGCCGTTCGGCCGCGCCTATATAATTGGCGATCACCAGATCAAAACACACGGTGGCCTCCAAGTGGTCTCGCCATTATCACACCTGTACGGCTTACACGAGCTGCACCTTTTGAACACACCAATAAGGAGCTGCTCCCCGCTCCGTTATTTCAGAATCGTTTGATCCGTAGTGGACTAATGCTGTGTATTGGGTTGAGTTCAACAGGCCAGACCGACCCAAAACATTACGGATTACAAATCCAAAGCCAACTCCAAACCGATCTAAGCCCCCTAAATCTGACCCGATCCGACTCGACCAATACTGAAATAAAGGCAACACGAAAAAAATATATGGAAGGTCTGGCCAGGTGAAATTGCCTTTTTATTGCTGTCCACTTTTCATGCCTAAACCTAACTGCGTTGGTGAATTCTTTGTTAAAGTGCAGACATTCAAACTGAGGGGGAAATCATCGCACATCTCAGACAAACCGGCAATGCGACTCCGCGGTGACAAAGTAGCATTGGAATGTCAACACTGATTCTCTTCCTCCTACCATCGCACCGACATGACCGAAGTCACAAACGCACATCCACAAACCGCGGGCCTGACCCAACTGAAATGGCGGAAAAACCAACTAGACCCGAAACTGACTTCGCGTTGGGTCGTGTAAGGGTCCAGTTGGATTTGCAAGTCATGTAAATGAATAGCGTGATCATTTTCAGCACCAGAGGTTGCACATACAATAGACGAAGCATTAAAATAGGCTGTATAAGTCAACGTCGCATTCGCCCTCATTAAGGGTGATTAAATGCACCTTTCCACAAATACGTCAACGACTTTTATTTATTTATATATATATTTTTTTTTGAGGGGAGGGGTATCAGAAAGGAGGCAATTTCTCGTGGGTTTGGCATAAATTTTGAGTATCGCTCTCCGCGCTGCTGCTGGAATAACTGCAGAGGATACCTGCAGACAAGGGCGGATCCATAACCCTTTTTTTGGGGGGGGGGTCGGGTCAAATACTGGAAAAATTCCTTCACACGATCTTAGGGTTCAGGTAAAATTAGACTGCCTTTTCACACTTTGGGAAAGAATGGAAATAAAATTTCCAAAAGGGGGGGGGGACGCAGAGCCCATCAGCCCCTTGTAGTTATACCCTTTCCGGATCGCCCAAAGCATACCAGTATACGATGTATAGATGGGGGTTCACTACAGCCTCTGTGACAATAAATTTTGGACCAAGTAATGCGACTTTGTCCACTTGCTATTTCAAGAACACTCAAATAAAACTTTCCGTTTCTCAGAGGCCGCTGGGCTATACTTGGCCTATCCTCGCTGTACCTCAGTGCACATCGAACTGGAACAATGCTGTTCTGAAATCAAAATGCCAAATATTTTGCCTAATTTTCCACAAAACGTTTCCCGACAAGAATCCAAACTCGGATACTTTCTACTCGTCAGAAATGAGGGAGACAAGGCTGATATCATACAGGTACTCAAGGATGACAAACCTTGATTCGTTGAGAAAGGTTGTGGCCTGGTGACCTCGAGAGAAAACGAGAAGCTAATTGATTATGAGATGTATGTGTACATCAATCACGTTGCCAAGCAACGTGATTCTGCACAGCATCCTGCGTTATAGTTTGAAGGAAATTTCAAATGCAGTGGAGAGCTACATGTCTGTTGTCCTCACTGGCAGGGCTGGGGGGGGCATCTGAGGTCATGTCCCATTCCTACAAAGGGGGGGAGGTGGCATTTCAGTCGGAAAAGATAATGCGAGAAAAGTGATTTGGGGGACTTTGGGATTTTGATATATTGTGTAAAAAGGCCCAATCCCGAAGAAATGCCATAACAGATTTGCAAGACAATTTCCCCATGCTTTTCTGGCCCCTCAAATAACATTTTTTGCCCTCCGTCCCTCAAACAACTTGTGGATTTTGTGAATTCCTCCTAGGTTGCGTTTCATATATGATGTAGGTTGAGTCTGATGTCTTCAAACACAGCCTACGCTGCAAAAACTGTAGTATTAAATCAACACTTTTTGGAGCTATCGGATGAAAACACAACAGGGTGCTCCTTTAACACCACTGGTGTTACTTTGCACACTTATAAGTGTTACAATGCACTGGAAGGTGTTAAAGGTTAGCACCAAATAACACACAAATTTTAGCAACAGTTAAAAGTGTTGGTGTAATTCCTCTAATAACATCGGGGGTGATAACACCCGAGTTTTTGCAGTGTACACCAGCATTTTAACAACGGTGAAAAATGTTGATGTTAGTCCTCCGATGATATGGGGGGTGATAACACCCGAGTTTCTGCAGTGTACACGTTTTATCATCCAACGGAACAAGACGTAGGGTTAGGGTGGTTGACAACAAAAAAGCACAAAGTCGCTATTCACATCTGGACTTTTCCAGAAAAATAAAACACCAAAATCTGGCTGTTGCTCTTCATTCCTCCTGCCTTAGAAATTCGACACAAGCAACTGTGCAGAACAAAGTAAATCTTGTGCGATACCAAATCGGCGCAAAAACCTTAAAAACACAGCCTGTTGGGCATTGATCTACGTTCATAAACGTTCTGCTAGACATTCTAGGAAGTCCCCCACCAAATGTTTCCTCCCTGCCCTCCCCCATGTAATCGCTCTTTAATTCCCCTACCATCTTTCAACTGGTCCGCCCTTACACGGCTGTAACATAATGAACTAAACTGCCTTGCCATTAACGCATTTCTTGTCCGTGTGCTCAAGGTGCGGAGAGCGTTCATCGAAATTGCACCCGAGGGAAGCGCTTGTGCAAACAAGAAACATCATTTTGTAGTCTTTGGAAGTTTTCATCACCAATCATGAATTATTTCTTTTTACCTGTTTGTGAATGGAGAGCATTTCAGATTTGGGAAATCCGGCGTTATGGCGAGAATAGCAAATGTTTATGTTACACTTCAAAAGTATGAATCTCACGAAAACCTCGTGAGGGATTTTGCACAAAATAATACATGTACATATTATCTACAATACACAGTATTTAAAAGTATACAAGATAGATTTGGCAGATCTTTATGCATTCAAAAACCAGTGAGTTATGTAGCATCAAAACAGTTTCAGGGTCCTTACAACTTTTGACCACGACTAGACTCGCAGCTTTAGTACCTGCCTGTCTCAGCGAAGGGCAACCAACCACTGAATTTCTTCAAAGCGGGTGGCATATTCATAATTTACTGAAACACACAGTGGGTGACATATTACGTAGCTCAGGGAATTATCTTTGTGACGTTCATGCATCCTTTTGACAAAGATGAAAATATTGCGTACTTACCTCCTTGAGGACCCTCGAGGTCGACTCCCGCTCGTGTCGTTGATGTAACGGAGTTGTTAAAAAGCACCTCGGTGGAAGGCGCGTGCGGAGTCATTGTAGCTTGCGTTTCCGCTGACAATTCCCCCTGGGTCGCGGGAGCTCTGGCGAGGTCGGTCCCGGGCTGAAAAGAGCCCGAGACGACATTTCCGACCGTGGACAACGGGCTTGATGTACTCGTTCCCGGCATTTTCGAGTCATGCTGAGTAGCGACGGTCGTCTCCTCCATGGTCTCCCGGGGAGCTGGCGTGACGTCGGCGAGATCCGTCGCCGGGGTCGGCAGGGTGGCTGAGGTTGACCAACGCGTAGGGGTATGGCTGGGTTTTGATGGGTGTGCAGAGGACATGCCGGCTGGGAGGGAAGGGGAGGCGGAATAATTTGGCCGGCTAGAAAGACCCCCCTGCCATGGGTGTGATGTGGCTTCCTCGAGGATGGGCGTAGTCGGCGGTAGACTGCCGCTAGTTCTTGCATAACTTGTTCCGGAATCGGAATGAAACTGCATACTTGCCTTGCGTGCATCAGGCACAAGGGTGAAAGAATCAACGGTTCGGAAAAACAGACTTTGCTCCGAAGAAACTTGTGTGGGCTGTGCTGTCCAATAGGTGGGTGATACTGTGGGCATAGCGGGGTCGGCCGCCCCTCGGCGATTCCTCCGTGTCTTACTTGGAGATTTTCTCCTGAAAATATGTATCTGCGAACCGTCATTAGCGCCATGTCGCGCGCTGCTGCCCCGTAAGGCGTCTTGCATATTATCAGCGTTATTGTAAATCGCACTGTTGGACTCGCGTACCGAAGGCACCTTGGAAACATCCCCTACCAAATTGGTCGGGAGAAGCCTGCCCCTGCTGGTGGCGACTTGGGGCGGTGGGGCGTAACCGTCCAGCTCGCTCCCCCGGGTGGAGTTCTCCTGGAGGTACTCGCTCACCGTGCCCGCAGCGCACAGCCACAGGTATCCCTCGCGGTGGTGGGACGGCATGCCCAGGACCAGCAGCAGGATCGGTAGAGCCACGAGGTTGCCGGCCGAAGCCGGATTGGTCGGCCTCTCACCTCTTCGCCTCCCCCAGACGGAGGTGGTCTCGTTCTGGTGAATCGTGAAAGATAACGGCGCCCACCATTCACGCATTGCTGTCTCTCGTTGCAAAGGCCACCTTTGGAATCGGCCAATATCCCCCAAAGCGGGCGAGAGCTAGCCTATGTATAACGTGACACACATCGTCACACTCTGACTGAGGCAACACAGTTCACGTTGCACGTAATGACGGCCAGTGAACCATCGCTCGTCGTTAAGACCTGTGGTCGTTGATAGTAATTTGCGTGTCCACAGGCATGATCTCACTGGCATTTAACTTCAGTGCATCTCGCACGCCAGAGCATCGTGGATGTCTGCAGCAACCACGCTTGGCTAATAAAACGAGGCATGACTGTAGCGCGGTACAAAGCAATTTCAAGCCAATACAATTCCCCCGACTGCCGGTACACGCGTAGAACAGCCCAAAGGTCCAACCCTGCTAGCCTCCAGCAAGATGTAGATTAATATCAGACCATGATAAAGTGCCCATATACATATATATTGTCCGCAGACTCCAACATTAGAAGACCTCGACTCATATGAAGCACGGGGATGGAGATGTTGAGAACGGATGCAGTGGTTGCCATGGCAACGCATCACTCGCCTGCCACATACCACGTCGCTCGGGTAGGCCCGCTTGCTCTCGGGATCAGCGAAAGGTGTAGGCCTGCGGAGCGTCGCGGACACCAGCTAAACGATCTGCACTGCAACATATGAGGGATACACTAGACTGGGACTTATGAATCGATGTCAGCTTGTGAATTATGTAACAGTTTGGGAGTGAACGAAATGAAAATTTTATTTTTTTTTCGGACAATGAATACAGGAACAGTGACTGCGCTTCCACCGTATGACAGGCAGTAAACTAAATGTCATGGTGAGATCACACCTCATCGCTCACCATGCTCTTTACTTCCCGTTTTTAATGATCGACGTCAGTGCGGGTTATCTCTAAAATAATTGTTGAGATCATGAGTCATACGGTCACGGTGTGTGTGGTTCGGCCCGCGTGCAAAGGCCAACTGCCTTGCAAGGTTGGCTCCTTTCCGTAGTGAAAATAATGACGACAGGAAGATGTCCAAGAAGAAGATAGATTTTAAGCTTCCATACTAAGCCTTTTGTGACTAAATATCTGGTACACTGAGTGTTTTCAATTCACGTGAACATAACAAGTTAAATTCTCCAAACTAAAGGCACTGTTGACTTACCTCGTGATTTGGGGCAAGCTTTCGCTTAGATACATAGGCCTAAGAGACGCCAGGCACCAAATACGCTGTTGTCAATGGATTAGAAGGGCATCCAGTCAATTCCGGAGATGGTGGTCGCTATGCAAAAGCTTGCCCCGAATCACGAAGTATGGCAACAGTGTCTTTAGTCTGGGTAATTCAAATTGCTACGTTCGTGCACAAGCAGAAAACTCAGTGAACCAGATTTTATTCAAATTGACTCGATCGAAAAGGGCCTACAAACCTTTTTCCTGTGATGTCACAATCGTGCTGAACCTCTATGTGTCGTGATGGTAATAAGTGCATAGTGTTGTGATAGTAATCTACTTAAGATAAACTAGTCAAGCATGCAGCGTCTGCACATGCGCTTGCACGTGGTTGAAGCTGCCCGTAGGAATATATGCAATCACCATGGCGAAGGCGTTTCGCACGTGGTAGTATTGTTTACAATTAGCGCAATCCAGTCACGTGGGTGAAAAAGGGTCTTCTGTACGTTGAATAAGGATGTCCAAGTAGGCCTACAGCGCGCACAGGTCCGTCATAGTTTTGGGACAATCACGGAGAGATAAATATCCAAAAAAACAAAAACAAAAAAACAAGACAAGTAAAGGAAGTTTTACAAATTGTAATGCTTGAGTGAAATACAAAGATAAGCAATTTACAAAATATTAACATTCACCGATACCGGCGACATTATAAAGAACTGGTTCGGAAAACTTTGGCTATAGGTTTGGAATTTTGATGGAAATGGGGAAATGATTAATCACGTGACTTCAACATGAATATACTTCAAACCAGTCTAGATCGTAGCAGACTACCACCTTCCTGGCCTGGACTGCGAGTCTGGTTCCTATACCACAAGATTCCGACTGCGATGAGAGATCTTCAGATTCGGTGCCGGTAGCCGCCAAGATCTTCTGACAAAACAGGAGGAATTCGTTCGGTTTCTAACACTACCCCTAAATCTGCCTAGCTTTTCCGAAACTTTCGTATATTTCTTGGGCAGTGCCGTCAACATTCGTGATATCTCAGGATCGTGTATAAATGCTTTCTCTTTACATTCCCCAACATGCACCACAGATTCGAAAAGAGTTCCTTAGTTTTTCTTTCCTTTATTTGTTTTGGTTTTTTAGTTTTGTTTGCACAGTAATCCCAACTCTCAATTATGACACCTGCCCCTAACTCACAGTGGAGGCATCCTAGCAGAATTTCCGGTTCTATTTTTGCGGTCGACGAAAACCTGCCGTCAAATATTTGCAGCGCGTTTCTGCCCCACTGCATATCCATGGTCCATGGTGTCGTCACATGGATAGACTAACAGGCAATAGACAAACGATCTTGGGTTATTGGGTACCCCATGCATGGAGTCATGCAGAGATTGCATTTGCAACATGAATAATTCGAAATGTCGAAAGCAAGTTCTATCCACACACACGTCTGGCCTTCATAAAATTTGCTTGACTAGAGCTCATTTGCCTCTACATGCAACATTCTTTCCCCGAAACATTTTACTACAAGGGCGTAACTTTGCTTCGCATCGGTCTGGTATTAAGCCGCAACGTGATGACACCGCACTGTGGGATACTTCCACGAGTCGAGTAACCAGCTCAAACGCAATACGGCCAAGGGGAATCAACTTAATTAAGGTATGTCTAGAGAGGGCGCTACGCATACATTACCACAGCCAATACGTTTCGAAGAAGAAGTCATCCTTGCGGTGGCGCAATGCCCGTCCCGCAGACAGGTGGTACCGGAGTTGTATAAAGACAGTGAAACGCCAGCTTCAGACTTTGGAACCAAAATGGCTATTTGTTATGTGTGCAGTGCAGCAATTATTTGTTAATTTTCTGTGCGCACTGACAGATTTCGGTTTCAACAATTAGGACACTCATGTCCCAACTCTCTCCATTGAAAGCTCTTGGTGGTACGGGTCTTCTGATTTGTCAAAATGTACGCGGAGGTCAAGCTTAGGGACGCGCGTATAATTGAAGTGCGACTGGAGTAAATATGGGGTCTCTTCAATGAAGTCTATAATATATAATAACGATAATTATGGAAAATATGAGTACTTATAGCAAGTTCTTTGCGAAAGGTTTTCCAAAGAAAGATACTGGAAAGGAACATGAGTCCATGTACGAAGATGCATCCTATGTTTTTTCTTTTTACAGTGACGTAAAAATGTGACAACAGTTCAGTAACTAAGTACATGTAATTAGCACAAACAGCTTTCACAAGTGACGTCAGTTCCTCTACGACATTTAATGGTCTAAGCAGGTGACTACACTACAAAGGGTGAGGTAGATAAAGCGGCTTTAAATAGCTTCTTGCCGCAACATGTTGTTGAGAATCACCGAATTCTACACGCACGTTGATTATTTTCAAACAATAAATTAGAACATCGCTGGATACACTTAAGGTTTAGTGGCATTTTATTTTATCCCCCTTAAAATTATTTTTCGTTTGGAGATTATTATTTTAGAGGCGAATGGAGGATCGCTCGGGGAATGGAAGCAGAGCTGCAACTCTATGACAGTGATTTGGGGGAAGGGGGAAGATGGAATCCTAAATCATCCGGCCATGGAACTCGGGAAAAGTGGGAAGGGCGACCGGTACTCTTCCCGATATGCTTGATTTCGGAGGCCAGACTTAACTACAAACGGAACCTTTGTCCTTTCCTGCTCTTTTGTCCTTTCCGTCGCTATTTTGTTGTTGTTGGGCAGTTGAAATGTGGCCTAAATATGCTATTTCCGCTAGGGATTGTCAAAACAAACGGAGGGGGTGTTATCAAAACTATGGTTCAGCAAACGGTGAAATAAACGGCGATGTCTTCTTTATTTTGGACAATGAGATTCATTGTCATTCCGAAACAATGCGTGTCTTGACTTGGGGAAAACAAGTTGTTGCTGAATAGACAATCTTGGTTAGGGCCTAAATGTACCAATCTTTGCCACGTCTCTGTAACACAAAAACAAAGGAGCCAATTTAAGCCCTTTGCCGTTCTATGTTACGCATCTATATAAGGTCTACACCTCACGTATAATATTCATACCCTCACTTAGTTAGTGCGCGTGCGCATGCGCGATGAATCCCAGTCCAGCGCCAGAAGCCAGTAAAATGGCTCTTGACTGTGGCAGGTGGACACCAAAGTAATCAAGGTCAGATAAAGTTGTTTACCCTCATCTCCACACCGATTCGAATTTAAACACTCACAGTTCCTTTTGCTAACTCGGCACACCATACATATCCACTTTCTGCCAATTTTTGGCCCGTCTTTGTCACGTATCTCCAAAGTAACAGAGGCAGACGTTGGAAGTGAAGCCAACATTTTAGGGGGGATTTTTTTCCCAGTTTTGCCGGGTTTTCTCTGACATTTCTGTGCTTGTGAATGGTGAGGAATACCATGAACGCTCTGATGAGAAAGTATCATGCAAGAAGGAGACTGAATGGGTGAGAATTTTCCTTTCCTTAAATAAAGGTTTATGTTTATGCCTTTTATTCGGGCATTCTCACGTACCAGTGCAATGTAGTAAAAGTCAACTCGTACCCCGATTCACTCGTCTCCAAGTGTGTGTGCGTGTATACCATGCCCCAAATCCGGACATCTCATTTTCAAAGTTTGACCGCTGCAGGACTCAGTGCGGAGATTTGAATCCGCACGAAAAACAAACCTCATTTCTGACAAACGGCTCTCGATCTCGAAGAAATGAACTGATCGATACAAACGATTCATCAGTCTTCCAGAGAGTATCACCGATGATCCGAGGGAACTGTCAGACTTGGGCACTAAGTACGGTGAAAAATTGCGGAGAATGACGAAAATTGGTTCCCAATGAAAAACGAAGTAAATTTAAAAAGGTTTTCTACCTAGAGCTTTTTTATTCATAAGAGTTAATAACCTTTCATGCGGCATCAAACTTATTTGAAGGTAAGGTAAAAACGATATTTTTTCATCACGACCCTATAACGTAAAATCGATATTTGACCTCTTTGGTTATTTTTAGGAGATTTTTTTACTAGAAGCTTTGAATATCACCACTGGATAGGTTCTTGTCAGTTGATTCACACACGAGGTCTTCAAGGGAAATGGCAGTACAAATCCCTCACAGGGGTCACCACCGATATGCGTCGTCTGCTCGAATAATTTTGTCAGGCCGACGACCATATGTCACTATTGCGCACGCGCCAGTACGCAAACTAAATGCACGCACAGTCTACGGAGACCGAACATACGTGATACCTCCATCAGGCCGAGCTAGTCCAAAACGTGATGTATCAAAATAAAGGAGCTGACCTTTAGTCCTTTGCTTTTGTTAAGTATCTCTTAGATTTACACCAAAACAAGCCGAGCCAGCCCAAGAGGTATTGTATCTTTTGTCGATATATAACGACAATTACACACTTAAGTGTGCAGACTGCAAAAAGACTAATATTAGCCATGTTTGACCCTGTATTTCTTTCTTTATTCCTAATGTTATGAATGAAGAACAAGGTATCGAATCAATATAAGTCTTTTTGGAGTTGTCATAATATTGAGTTAGTACACTACAATATTTCGAATAATCTGAAAACAAACAGTCCGGTAGTGCAGTGAAAAGGAACCACGACTTATTTTTTATTTAACAGGCAATACGTTGGGGGAAAATGACAGACATAGCAAATCAGTGGAATTATACAGTGATGGAGTCCTCTGCACCTTTGGTTGGGTGTGGGATCTTTATGCCATTTAGGCCCAGTTTGCTCATGATTGGGCGCGAATAGAAATTTTCACTGTTTTGTCACTATACGTTAAGCAATGTTTTTTCCTGGGAGGTTATAGCGTACCCTTTGCTGGGCTTGCAGCTTACGGTCTTCATGAAATACACGGAGCTTACTAGCATAATTGCTTGCCAGGCGGCGCCATGAAATTGGCGTCATGAAATCGTCAACAGCTTTGAAGTCACGCACCAATGGAGGGATCCCAACACGACGCTTTTAGCGTCGATCTGCGCACTTCTGCGTTTGAAAACGAGGCTGTATGTGTCCGCTTCAATTCTTAATTCGATCAGACGAGTGAAATTAAGGAGTCAAGACACAAAATACATAAAGGTATGTTAAATTCAGACTTTTCAGGCTGCAAACTTTTGTGGAAGAGTCTTTTCAGGATGACTCGACACGTGTAATCAAAAGAAAAAATAATGGCAATTTACCGCGAACTCATACCTGCGATGGTCATTTATCTTGTGCAGTGGGCGTGGTTTAAACTGAAGTGGCACCACACTTATGCATGAACCGGATACTGCATGTACTGTGTCGACTCCGCGGGCGCGCGCGACAAAGTTCAACACAGAGAGCCTCGGTTTCGATGCGGATATGCGCAGAGGCGCTAATGTGAAACCATCTATTGCATTCCACGCGCGACCCCGTTGCTCTATGCTGCAACACGCTCTTGAACCGCAACTCCGAAGCACACTTCCAACTTAGTCATTTTCCCCCAAATCTTACGTCGGAGTCGATCCTACTTTCAGTCGCACATATAACCCGTACATTCGATCCACACAGACCCCCAACTCATACCGTATGTGTCCCGCCAAACTACACACCGAAAGCCCGTGTCCGCTCACGGCACAGCGAGGTCAATTACCTCCGCTCACCCTAAGTTTTACTCCGTAAGAATTACCCGTTGATTTCCTAGCCATCCCGAGATAAGTGTCGTACACAAACCAATGCACCGAGAAAGGCTCACCCTTTCCTTTCCCTCGTGGACCAATTCTCCCGTAGCTCATTCAAGAACAGCCTTTCACCCTAAGCTCCCAAACCTCTAGGACCTTATCGCTCTCAAGAAACTGTACAAAATCCCCATAGACTTTTCTATCATAGATTTTCTATATGTATGAATTATTCATAACCACCAATCCAGCGCTCCCATTGGCTAAGGCGCGGCCCCAAAAGTCTATATTAACCGTCCAGCTTCCCAAGTGGGCAGCTTTGGAGAAATACTTCCCTGACCGTTCGTGAGTGTATAGCTCCGATATGAACAACCTTTCTATCACTCCCAAATAAACTTAGCTCAGACTTGGACGAGCAGTACTTGAGTAATATCCAGCCTTACTAGTAGCATTAGCTCATTATAAATATGGAGCAGATAAATAAATTAAGAAAGTAAATAATTCTTCGGAATGAAACAGTAGTGTGTGTATAAGTCAGTCCAATTCAATGCACGTGCGCGAACAAAAAAAGGGACACGCCTGAATTCGCAAGTAAGTAACGCATGTGCACTGAGTTTTTCCCATTTCGGGGGGGGGGATTTGAACAACTTCCCAAGACATTGTTGCTGGCGTGGCTAGTTGTGGTTCGTGCGTTCCAGCCACAGACATATAAACACATAGAAGGGCAGCTCCTATTCGAAACAACGGCAGGGTACTGTAGCCGAGAAGCCACCTGATTAAATCCAAAAGCGTGGGCAAATTCACCTCACGGTATAGGGAATTTACACACAGTTGAAGAATTCCAGCCATAAAATACTATGAAACCATTTCCCGATTGTGAAAAAAATCCTCCGCTCTGTGTTCAGTCAATCTGTTCAGTTAAGCAGTACAAAAGAGTAAAAAAAGGAGCGTCATTTTAGAGCACACATAGAAAAATACATGTACTGTGCATGCATCTAAGTGCGTCACGTACGCGCAATTAATTCGCACTGATCTGAACTCACTGCCATTCACCGTCGCGTTTCGCTCTCTGCTTGCCCACGCTATTTAAAATCAAGCGCAAGACTGGTGGTCTACGTGTGGTTCCAGGTAGTCGTCTTGTGAGCGCCCTCTCGCGTATCAACAACACAACAATGTCTTGACCGAGAAATATGGAAGGGCTGCGTAGCACCGTGGTCAGAATAACGACAAGAATATAATATCAAATCAGTTTTCTGAAATATGTGATTGCCGAGCTTTCGGTAACTGAGTAACCAAAAGCTCGGCAATCACATATTTCAGAGCACTGATTTGATATTATATTGTTAACGTCTTGACCGAGACTGGAACGAGGCAACCATCTTCTAATCTCAACCTCGTCACCTCACGAAGCCTTCACGCAGCGCTGCGAGAAAGGGATTTTGATTAAACAAATTTAAAAAGTCTTGTTATCAAGACACAATATTGGGATACATTTGTATATTCTTGTGGCTTCAATTGCGTCCACTTAAAAATACTCTGTGCAGTTTTTGAAAAAAACATTGAACTGATTTTTAAAATATAATACTTTTAGTGCATATTCCTAACCTTGCAAGAGAGGAATAGATTGAAGCAAAACTGTTCGCTGCCTTTCCTAGTAACATAAATTTATTTTGGTCCCCTCTTTCTCGACGAGGCCGGCGATCAGGCCACGACGAACATGTACACAAGATGGGCACATGGTGATCACATGCACACCTTCATTCCATTCATAAGTGAAAGTGGACACGTCCATTTCTGAATCGAAGGGGTTTCCTTTTCTGCCTGAAAGCAAACGGGAAAAAATACGAGGAAATAGAACTCACAGCTTCCATTTTCCGTCGAAACCCGGGCAACATTGACATTTAATGCCTCAGGAGGTAAAATTTGTCTACAAACGGACGAAACAACTGTTTTTGGGTAGTAAAATTGCAGCTTGAAGGGAAAGAATTTGTGGAATTTTCGCGCGTAATTTCGGCGCTCGAAATGTGAATTCGCGCCAACCTGGCTCCGGTGCAGTCTCGCGGTCCATTAGTGTACATGTGTACGTGTGGTCAGTTTCTTCGGTCAGGATAATTTTTCCACGTGGGACATTTGTGTTCAATTTTACCACTTTGAATCCATTTTTCGCTGAGTTTCAGCCCCATCATTGTTGCCGCTCTTCCTTGTGAAAATCTGGTCGTGCAGGTAAGCGTTATGTTTGTGAATTTGGGCTGGGTGTACATTTTTTCCCTCTAAATTTTGGGTCGAAAGTGGAGGGGTAATTAATCAACATCAAAAATAACCAGCAAATTCTGATTTCCAACTGTGACAGGAGAATTCTGATCCGGAGAAAAAACCTGATGAACTTGGCCTACCTCGCTTTAGTTTAACTCAAGTGTGCTGTCTTGGGGAGACATCTGCATGTAGGCCAGTGTGGTGGAGGTTTATTAGGCTAGGTTTGTTTGCTTGTTTTGTTTTGTTGTTTTTTTCCAAAGAAGCCTGAGCTGAGAAGGGCCTCAGCAGCGAAGTGGTGCAGGTACAAAGTGGGGCATAGGCCTAGAAGATGGCTAAATGGGAGCACAGTCTCCGCTCAGGCCTGCGGCTATGCCTTCTTTGTTTCCCTGTCCCATTCGGAAAATAACCCGTTAGAGAAGAAACCCAAAAATCTGGTGTCTTTACTCTTGATCAGTCAGTGTTCCACCTTCAACTCCGGATGTCGTTAAGAACTTAAGATACCAAGTAGGCCTAGGCCTACTAGTACTACTATTAGGGACAGAAATGGGATTTTT